TCTATTCTTTATGGTCTTTTGGTGCTTGAAAGTCCCTTTAGTCCTTTAAAGCCTCTTAAGTAGATAATACTAATAGTCAGAGATGTTAGAATTCTAAAATGGTCAATCTTTATTTTTATATTTTCTGTGGTGTCTTCCATATAGAACAAGTGGCTGGAGTTCCTTCATATGTGAGTTCTTTGACATGTTTGAGTTAGTTTATCAGTAAGTTTACTTTGTTAAAAAATTATCTCAAGCCATAAAAGATTAACTATATAGAAAATTTTGCCTCTATTCTACAGCTGTATATTTAGTTATATGTCATATAAATCTTCAGTTATTACCTATAGCAAATATTACTAGTTTTCCTTGACTTTTAAATTTCTTGGGTAGTTACTCTCACATAATTATTTTATATTCTCTGTAATTCAACACTTGGACATTATGGATACTCAGTACATATTTGTGGGTGGTTATATATTCTCTGTTTCTTTGTTGATTAGGTAAAAAAAGAAATCCAGGTCCATTGGAATATGTTCATAAGTTCACGGGAATGTAACTTACTTAAGCTAACTAAATGAGTGTGTTACACCAATATCAAAAATATTTTCTGAGAAGTTAATAAAACTAATTCATTGGTGGAAATACATGCCATGTTTCCAAGGAATAAAATATTCACTAGTAGAATTTTACTGATTGGGGCACCTGGGTGGCTCAGTCGTTAAGCGTCTGCCTTCGGCTCAGGTCATGTTCCCAGGGTCTTGGGATCAAGCCCCGCATCGGGCTCCCTGCTCAGCGGGAAGCCTGCTTCTCCCTCTCCCCCTCCCTCTGCTTGTGTTCACTCTCTCGCTGTGTCTCTCTCTGTCAAATGAATAAATAAAATGTTTAAAAAAAATTTTACTGATTCAAGACATGACCAATATGTCCTAGTTTAGTGAAGGTAGGGAAATGGAAAAAAATCCACTGTGTATGTTACCCAAGATACATTATAAAATGTGTACTTTTGCATATCAGATGAAGATAAATAAGGGAGGAAAACCAAAGAGTAGAATAAGCTGCCTAAGTTGAAAAATTAGAAAATAGTGATTCATCAAAATCTGCCAAACAGGTGCATCAGGGGTTTAAACATATCATTAGTAAGCATGATAATTTCCCTATGTCCCTTAAAAATTCCTGTCAGACATTGAGTTAGGTATTCTAAAGCCTTTATTTGTTGAAAATATAAAAACTGATAACAAAAATGTTGTACTGTGGAACTCCTCAGGAGGTATACTCAACTGTATCAGTATTTTAAAAAATCTCTTCCCAGGAAAGAATGAAGTTAACTTACCTGCTAGTATTACTAGTCGTTGCGTTTAATTAGGTAAACAGCATGAATTCAGAACAATTAATCATTTGCCATAACTGTTTATTCTTGATTCATTACTGAACTAGTTTACTGTCCCTGACTATGATATAAATGAGCATTTTGTGAGTTTTTTTCTTTTTGTTTTTCTTATATTGATAGCTGTACACAGCAAACTTAGTTCTTATTCCTTGCTGGACTCTGACTTTTGAAAAGTTATTTTAATAATACATTGAATTATCTATATTAACTATTTTCCTGTTTGGGGATTTACAGGTCTGTTTTGATAATACTTCAGTGAATATATTTTATGCTTTGAATTAAATTTATTATTTCCTATTCTTATATCATAAAATTATATTAAAGATGAATATATGTTCAATGAATTTTTTATTTAAAGAAAACTGATTTGTGAAATTTTTAATTATGCAAAAAAAAAAAAAAAGGAAGAAAAAAGAAAGGTTTTGCCCAGGATTCTTCATAATCTAATCTATTTTTCATTAAAATTATTTCTATAATGTAGGTACCCCATCTGCTAAAAAACACAATTTTAACCAGGGTGTTTTGACATACAGTATGGGACACAGAAAACTGACACCTTTCATATTTTAAGGGTAATATTGCCTTGATGTAGAATAAACTTCTTTGCTCTTTTGATGTGGAATAATAAAATACTATCTTTGTATATTATATCAATTTATCTTATTCCTTAATAAACAAGATTATAGACTTTTTTAGGTTGTTATACTTTGAGATTTTTTACTATGTGATAATTTAGGCATTATGGAGAGTGTAGGGATGAAAAATATGGAGTATGATTATGAAAATTTATTTATATATTTGAAAATATATCATTTTGCCAAGTGTGAAACAGTTATTCCATATTAATGATGGCACCATCTTTGTTATTAGTAATAATCTTGCAGGAGGAGGGAAGGGTAATCCTTGTGAAATATGCCCAAAGCATTCTTCAATAATGGTCTACTCTGAGGGAAAAGATATTACCAGAGCCTTATCTCAGTTTGGGGAGGGCATCCCTCCTTTTCCAACCCCTTCTAGGCTTCCTTTCTCAAGAGGGAGAAAAGCTATATCATGGAGAAACACCTGTGAAGGTCACAGCCCAGAGAAACAGGCCAAATAAGAAATTGAGATTTAATTCTAAAATTATAGAATGCTTTTCCTCCCCCACACCTTAGCCTCATAACCAAAACAAAAAAAGAAAAAAACAACTATGCAAATATGCAGATATAAAACAGGAATCCAATATAATAACAGTGAAATACAGTTGAAAGAGGCATGGACTCTGAAAGAGAAGTACTAAGGGAAGCCCAGAGTCAATAAGGGACACAAAACAAAGATAATGGAGGAACTTGAAGCTTCTGACACCTATAACAAACATCAAACACATCTCACCTCCTGGCCAGATTAACAGATCCACATAGTAAATGCTTATTTACCTCTCTTCCTATTTCCCAATGCCAAATGGTGAACTTTCAACAAAAATTAGAAGACATGCCTAAAGACAAGAAAAAACAATGTGAAAGACAAAGCACCAGAAATAGACTCAAATGTTGGAATTATCAGGTAGGGAATTTAAAATAACTGATTAATATGTTAAGAACTGTAATGGAAATAGACAATATGCAAAAAAAAAATGAGTATTGTAAGCAGGGAGAAAATCTAAGGAAGTATCAAAAGCAAGTTCTAGAAGTAAAAAAAACCACTAACAAATAAATGCCTTTGATGAGATCATCAACAGAATGGACACAGCTGAGAAAAGAATCAGTGAGGTTGAAGATAGATTAATAGGAATTGCCTAAACTGAAATGCAAAGAGAAAAAAGAATTGGGGAAGAAACCCAGAACTGAACATCAATAACTATGGGACAGTTTTTTAAAGTGTAACATATGCATAATTGGAATACCAGAAGGAGAAGGAAAAGAAGAAATATTTGAAGTAATAATGGCAGAGAATGTTACAAAATTAATGACAGACACCAAAACAGAGGCCCAGGAAGCTTAGAAAATACCAAGCAAAATAAATATCAAAATAACTACACCTAGGCACATCATACTCAAACTGCACAAAACCAGAAACTATGAAAATCTTGAAAGAAGCCATAAGAGGATGGTAAAAACCTTACCAATTAGAGGAATTGTGACAGAATTATGACAGCCTTCTCATCACCCAGCAAATGAGAAGAGTGTGGAGTAAAATATTTAAGAGTTGAAAGAAAAAAAGCCACTAACCTATAATTCTGTATCCATTGAAATTATTCTTTTTTTTTATTAAATCTTTTTTTTTTTTAAGATTTTTATTTTTATTTTTTTGAGAGAGAGAGAATGAAAGACAGAGAGCATGAGAGGGAGGAGGGTCAGAGGGAGAAGCAGACTCCCCGCCGAGCAGGGAGCCCGGCGCGGGACTCGATCCCGGGACTCCAGGATCGTGACCTGAGCCGAAGGCAGTCGCTTAACCAACTGAGCCACCCAGGCGCCCCCATTGAAATTATTCTTAAAAAGTGAAAGAGAAATTCTCTTTGAAACAAACAAAAACTAAGAGTATTTATTGTCAGCATACTTGTCCTATAAGAAAAGATAAAAGAAGTTCTTTAGAGAGAAGGAAAATTACTTAGGTTAGAAATTTGGATGTACATAAAGAAAGGAAAAGCATAAGGTAAAAAAAAAAAAAGGAAGGTAAAATATTTTTTATTCTTCATTGATCTAAAACATAACTATTTAAAGTAATAGCAACAAGGTACTGAGTGATTATGGACTATGGATAAATGAGATGAAGGACAGCAGTGTCTATACGGAATAGGAGAAAGGGTTTGGGAATACTCTGTTATAAGGTATCCACACTACAAGTGAAGCAGTATACTGCTATTTAAGGGTGGACTGAGATTAGTTAAAAATGTATATTTCAGGGCACCTGGCTGGCCCAGTTAGTAGAACATGAAACTCTTGATCTCAGGGTTGTAAGTTCAAGCCCCACATTGGGTGTAGAGCTTATTTAAAAAAATGTATACTGCAAACACTGGAACAACCACTAAAATTTTTCTGAAAAGAAGAATAATTGATATGTTAAAAGAGTAGATTAAATATAATAATATAAAATGTTCATCAAAATCAGAAGAGACAGAAAAGTAGGGGGAAAACATATGCAATGGGTAGAAAACAGTTACAAATATGGCAGATATTAATATAATTATGATAATAGGCACTTTAATGTGAATGGTTTAAATACACCAATTAAAATACAGATTTTGTCTGAGTGGATAAAAAAATAAGAGCCTTATATAAAAGAAAGACCTAGCTATGTATTATCTGTAAGAAACTCACTTTAAATATAAAAAATTAGATAAAAAAGGGGTGGAGAAAAATACACCATGCTATCACTAACCAAAAGGAAGCTGGAGTAACTGTATTAATTTCAGACAAAGTAGGTTTCAGAACAAGGAAAATTATAAGGGATAAAAAGGGACATTACATAATGATTTGGTGGTCAATTCTGTAAGAATACTTAACAATCCTAAATATTGCACTGAACAAGAGTGTCAAAATACATGAGGCAAAAACTGATAGAATTGAAAAGAAATATAGAAAAAGCCACTATAATTGGAGATTTTAACACCCCCCCCCTTTTTTTTTTTTAAGATTTTATTTTATGTATTTGACAGAGAGAGAGAGACAGCTGGAGAGGGAACACAAGCAGGGGGAGTGAGAGAGGGAGAAGCAGGCTCCCGGCCGAGCAGAGAGCCCGATGCGGGGCTCGATCCGAGGACCCTGGGATCATGACCTGAGCCGAAGGCAGACGCTTAACGACTGAGCCACCCAGGTGCCCCCTTTAACACCCCTCTTAAGCAGAAAATCAGTAAGTATGTAGATAATTGAACAACACTGTCAGTCAACTTGATTTAATTAACATTATAAACAGTTCCATTCAACCACATCAGAATATACATTCTTCTCCAGCTTGTGTGAAGCATTCACCAAGATAGGTCACATTCTGGGCCATAAACCTCACCTTACCATGTTTGAAAAAATAGTACTCATGCAAAGTATATATTCTCAGATCACAGTGGAATTAAACTAGAAACTGATAACAGAAATTAAGCTGGAAAAATCCCAAATATAGAAGTTAATTAAAGAATGTAATTTTAAATAACATATGGGTCAAAGAAGAAGTCTTGAGAAATTTTAAAATAATTTAAATGATAATGAAAATACAATTTATCACAATTTGCGGGATTTAGCAAAAGCAGTGCTTTTCAAGCAGCTTATAACCTTAAATGCATATGCAGGAAGAGGAGAAATATCTAAAATCAGTAACATGAGTTTCTACCTTAGGAAAGTAGAAAAAGAAAAACAATTTAAGCCCAGTGCAAGAAAAATTGTTTTATTTAAAAGTTTGTTTTAGGGAAAAATCAATAAAATTGATAAGTACCTAGTGAGCCTAATAAAAAAAAAAAAAGATGAAGAGCCCAAATTACCAATATCAGAAATGAAACCTTGATGATCACTATAGCCCCTATGGGCATTAAAAGGTAATAAAAGAATACTATGAAAAATTCTAGGCCCACAAATTGATAGCTCTGATGAAATGGGCCAGTTTCTTGAAGGACATAGATTATCAAAACTGACAAAAGGAGAAATAGGTAATCTTAAAAGATCTATATCTATTAAAATTGAATCAATAACTTGAAAATTAATAATTAAGAAATAATTTCTGAAAAAGCACAGGACAGATGGATTCACTAGTGAATTCTATCAGGTAAAACTCAATTATAAGATAACAAACAGGGGTGCCTGGATGGCTCAGTTGGCTAAGCATCTAATTCTTGATTTCAGCTCAGATCATGATCTCAGGTTGTGAGATCAAGCCCCGCATCAAGCTCCATGCTGGGCATGGAGTCTGCTTAAGATTCTCTCTTTCCCTCTGCCCTTCCTCCCTGCCACTCAGACTCTCTCTGTCTCTTTTTCTCTTAAAAAAAAGAAAAAAAAATCCAATTAAAAAGTGGGCAAAAGATCTGAACAGACATTTCACTGAAGATAATGATGGTAAATAAGTATATGAGAAGATGCTCAACATCATTGTCACTAGGGAATTGCAAATTAAAGTAACAATAAGATACTACTATACATCTTTTAGAATGACTAAAGTTAAGACATACACAAAACTGCCAGTTTCCAATAAGGATGCAGAACAGCAGGAACTCTTTTCATTGGTGGTAATAAAAAATGGTACAGCCACTTTGGAAAACATTTTGGCAATTTCTTGCAAAGCTGAACATAGTCTTACCGTACATTCCAGCAATCACACTGCTAGGAATTTAATTTACTACACTGATTTTAAAACTATGTCCACACAAAAACCTACACATGAAAATTTACAGCTTCTATTCATTATTGCCAAAAACTGGAAGCAACCATGGTCCCTTCAGTAGATGAATCGATAAACAGACTGTGGTATATCCATATGATAGTTTATTATTCAATGATAAAAAGAAATAAGCCATAAAGCCACAGAAAGACATGCATGAATTTTAAATGCATATTGCTAAGTGGTAGAAGCAGTCTGAAAAGTCTGCACGGAGTATGACTCCAATTTTGACACCATGGAAAAGGCAAAACTCTAGCAATGATAAAAAATTCAGTAGGTACCAATGATCCGGGAAGCACGGGATATTTACAAAGGTGGTAAACTATTCTGTATGATAATATAATTGTGGCTACATGACATAATGCACTTGTCCAAACCCATAGTGCCTTAGTACAGAGTAAATCTTAATATATGTAATTTTTTAATATAGGTAATTTTTAAAAACATCATTTAGAAAATTGAGGAATCCCAGAATGAAATTCAGACTGACAAAACAATCTAACTGTATTACAAACTTATGAAACCACCTTACTGAAGATGAGGCAAAAGGTGCTGACCTAAGTAAATTTGGACATAAGTGAAATCTGTAAGAGTAGAGGCAAAAGAAACTGTGTAGTAGTGTACTCTGGTTGATAAAGTTGTTTCCCATGGGGATAAAGTTATTAACTATACCAGGTTAACAATTCGGATATTGCCACATGTGTATACTGAAATTGAACTAGTAAGTAAATGAATGGTGGATTGAGGAAGCCAGGTTTCTCACTGTTGGAGTGGGAGTTTTCAAGTAAGCAAAGGGGAGTAAAATGAATCATGCAATAATGAATTAGATTTGGAGATACTAGGAAGAACTCATCTTTACCTCATAGACACAGGTGATTACATGTAGAAATACTTACAGATATGGGTATATACACATTTGTATACACATATATTTCTTTGCTCCATCAGCTGAGAAGGCCTAGGGGCAACAACACTCCAGTAGCAACAAGCTCACCTAGTTCCCAGATCTTGGTTTCTAATACCATTGTCCAGTGAAAGGAACTAGGGCTCCTTGGAGAAATGGCTGATTCTAGGATTGGAGCAGGAAGTATACAAAATGAGCATGGGCCATTTTGTAGTGTTAGAAAGTAAGGGTTCAAACATACATGCATGTGTGCATGTGCTCATGCAAACATACGATTGTATATAAATGGGACATAGGAGGCAATTGAAAGAGTTTACAATGGTCAAAGCTTGAATAATTTGGGCAAAAAAATGAATAACATAGTATTGGATTATAGCTCAAAATATAAAGTAAATATCCATGAGTCCATACTGAATGTAAATAAATGATTGAATGAATAAATCGGGGAGAAGAGACACATTGTCCAGGCGAAGGAATTCCACTTTGTCTTCAAGAAATTAGAGTATAACTCCTCATTGTTTAAGTGACTTCATTCCAACAAGTACAGTATGGATGAGGGGGATGGGAGTAACTACAGTGGAGGCACTTGAAAAATACTACCTAAACCAGGTGACAAGGATAGCATCCACAGTGATAAGTCATGTTGATAATATATATCCTGAATATGGTGTGATATAAATGGCACTTTACTTGTATTTCCTCAGTAGCCCATAACCCCAGCTAATCATGAAAAACAAAAACACTAATTGAGGAACACTCTACCACATACCTGACCAATACTCAAAATTGTCAAGGTCATCAAAACAAGGAAAATCTGAGAAAGAGTCTAAGGAAACATGAGTCATGACAGCCAAGAGGAGCCAAAGGAGACATAACTACTAAATGTAATGTAGTATCCTGGATGGGATCCTGGAACAGGAAAAGAACATTAGATTAAAACTAAGGAAACTATGGACCTTGGTTAACAATAATGTATCAACATTGGCTCATTAATTGTACAAATTTACCATACTAATGTGAGATGTTAATAATAGTTGAAACTGGGTGTTGGATATATGGCAACCCTATAGTATCTTCGCAATTTTTCTGTAAATCTAAAACTTCTAAAATTAAAAGTTTATTTTACCAAAAGTTCCATTTTATATAGGTCTTAAAATTCAAATTATCTATTTTGTCAGGAAGTATCAAGTTGCTGGGGATTTGGAATGGAAAGAAGGAAAGATTATGAAGAGGCATGAGAAAAGTTCATTATCTTGATTGTGGTTATGGTTTCACAGTTGTATTTATATGTCAAAACATCAAATTCTACACTTTGAATATTTGCAGTTTATTGTATGTCAGTTATATTCATGAAAGCTTTTTTAACAAATAGGGAACAAACAGGAAAGAAATAAAACAATAGACCTAGAGGGGCGCCTGGGTGGCTCAGTCATTAAGCATCTGCCTTTGGCTCAGGTCATGATCCCAGGGTCCTGGGATCGAGCCCTGCATCAGGCTCTCTGCTCCACAGGAAGCCTGCTTCTCCCTCTCCCACTCCCCCTGCTTGTGTTCCCTCTCTTGCTGTGTCTCTCTCTGTCAAATAAATAAATAAAATCTTTAAAAAAAAAAAATAGACCTAGAACCAATTATATCAATAATTACAGCAAATATAAATGATTTAAACAAGACTCAGCTACGTGTTGTAACAAGAAGTCAACTTTAAATATACTGATACAGTGTTTAAAAGCAAAAGAATAGGGGGAAAGATATGCAATACAAACACTGCTCAGCAAAATTTGTGTTGGCTGTATTAATATCATACACAGTCTACTTCAAGAAAATTAGCAAGGATTAAGAGGGGACATTTATAATGCTAAAAGTGTCTATTCGGTAAGAAGACAAAACAATCCTAAATATATATATACCTAAAAACAGAGCTTCCAAACACATGAAGCAAAATTAATATAACTGAAAAGACAGAAATAGAAAAATCTACAAAGTTGAAGACTTCTATAATCTCTCAGTAATCTATAGAACAATTAAACCAAAAATTTGAAAGAATATAGAAGATTGGAACAACACCATCAGTCAAATTGACTTAATTGATATTTATGATACACTTAACAACTATAGAAGACACTTTTTTCAAATGTTCATGGAACATTCACCATCAAAGACCATATTCTTGGTCATAAGACAACACTTAAAAAGTTTAAAAGAATTAAAAATCAAGTTCTCTGACCATAATGGAATTAATTAGAAATCAATAACAGAGGGGTACCTGGGTGGCTCAGTCAGTTAAGCCTCCGACTCTTGGTTTCAGCTCAGGTCATGATCTCTGGTTCATGGGATCCAGCCATATGTCAGGCTCTGCTCTCAGCATGGAGTCTGCTTGAGATTCTCTCCCTCTCCCTCCCCCTCTGTCCCCACTTGTGCACTTGCTCTCTCTAAAATAAAGAAATAAATAAAATCTTTTTTTTTTTTTTAAGAAATCAATAACAGAAAGGTACCAGGGAAAATTCTCAGATACTGGGAAATTTAAATGACATACTTCTAAATAATCTTGGTCAAAGATAAAGTCTTAAGGGAAATTAGAAAATATTTTGAA